GAAAGTGCTAAACAGCTGTAGGAGAAGGTGGAGTTTTACTGGAACAAATCAGGAGGGGAAACTATTTTTAGTACTCTGAAATTAATTTCAGGTACTGGTACAAAAATTACATAATTACGAAAATTCTACCTGCCCAAGTGCTGCATTACAATTATTCGCAAGAAGTTCCCTAAGCTTGTTCAATCTACTAGCACATTTCTCTAACCCACACAAACAGGTCCACACAACTTTATGTAAGTTCTGTATGTTTTCCTGAGGAATCACTTTACAATCAGTTTCTCACAATCCTTACAGACAAAACTGTTGCCATAAGCATTTTCCAGAGTTTGTACCGTACTACCGTTACACCCCACACATAATAGTGATAAAATCATGCCTTTCACTGCATCCACAATGCCCATGGATATTTTTACACATGTGAATGCAATTATTCCCATGTTTTTATACGCTTAATCTTCAAAACAACAAAACAAATTTTCCACAGTCTTACCATTATAACATACATGTACCAGTACTTCATGTAAATTTTACAAATTTACAGTGCTTTTTGATGTCCCACATTTCCAATACAATCAAGAAAACTGAGAATTTTGTCGACCTTTGTCAGTTTATGAGTTTTCAAACATATGAAAATAACACTGTCAATTTCGGCACTGTGAAAAAAATGTGTTGAAATAACCTACAGTGTATGATTTCAAAGTTAGTCAAAACAAGGAAAGCTGTGATGTTGGGAAATTTATTTAGATATTCATCTCAAAAGAAAACTTTCTGACACATTTCAGTTGGTTGCATCATATTTAAGTGCGAAGAATCTGCCATACATGTAATTGGTTGTTGGATTTTGTTGAATTTACAAAATTTCTATCAGCGAGGGTTTGGGTCCATGATCAAAGAGTGAGATTTTTCTTGAGTGCGTGTACACTGAAGGCTATTTTTTTCTGAAAACAATTGTTACAACAAATGAGCTTGTAACATGTGGTACCGTACAGGTACATGTAGTGCATGCATGCAACATACAGAGACTTCAATGCAACATCTACATGTACATGTACCTTAAAACTCAGCAAACATTTAAAAAACTTTGAAACAACATGTACAGTAGCCTCTTTGAGGAAGTTCACACCACAGATCTGTTCTGTTATCACCAGTGCTTGGGCAACAGGTACATGCACATGCATCAAGTCCAAGTATCAGTTCCCCAAGAAATAATTTCATCCCACATATGCACATGTAGGTACTAGGTCAGAAACCAAAGGAAGTGGCATTCACTTACATGTACATACATCAAAAAGACTCGTGCTGAACAACTGAAAGTGCCTGAGCTGAGTATTTGACTATACACATTCTACCAGCAGCTAATCATCCATGGGGATTAGCTGAAAGAGATCACAATGTGTATGTGAAAGTCCTGTCAAAGTGCATGCAAATCAAAAAGCACAACTGAATTGGATTACTGGGGTACCAGTAGGTCCTGCTGCCTGGCTCAGCATACAACTGGGCCAAACCAGGACAGTGGTACATGTATGTGATCAATCACATTGTGGAAGTTTGGTACACACGTACAGGTAAGTGTGAGAAAAGAACAGAACAAGAGGTACTGTACATGTAGACTGGATGGTTCAAGTGGAGTGATGAAGGTGCAAGTTCCAGCCGCAGCAACGGTTAAACTATAATTAATCTCTGTTTTATGGCAATCTGAGTGAGGTACACGACTTACAGAGCACAAACATTTTGGACGGGAGAGCCATTATGAATCTAAAATGAACAGACATAAAGACCTACCATGTTTCTTTTAACAAAGTCTACTCAAGTGCAGTAATAAAAAGGGTTGGGATCTGGTTGTTTTACATATGTGCATGTACCCGTATGTGTGTTTATCTGTATCAGTACCTTTTTTATCTTAAGATTTAAGGCTCTAGTCCAAAATATTTGGAGTAGAGGCTTCAGTGTGCTACATTCATATTAGCCCCTTGGTTGTATTCCAAATAACTGAAATCCTACTCCCCAACAAAAGCAAGGCCCTGCAAAGTAGTGACAGCAGTGTACACGTGTACTTGTTACGATAAGATTTCTCTCCATTGCAGAGCTCAACAAAAATACATGCAGGTGGAGTTACATGTATCTTACCAATGTCGTAAGGGCATTATTTATACAACTGTTGCACGCTGTGCAGGAGTCCATGGTGTTTCTTAAATCCAAGGGGGCAAATGCCATGATACATGCATGGTTTTGGCATATCAGGTGATGTACGGTATTCACAACCAATAAAAATTCACTCTCTATAATAGTGGCAGAACAATAATTTATGACACTGTAAATTGACATTCTCCACATAACTTTTTCAAAAAAAAAAGAGGCTAGTGTTCTAATTCAATGTACCAGTATCCACAACTTCCAAAAACTTTAGAGCACAAAACCATCTGCTATAACTTTCAAATTAACATTCAGCAAAACTTGCTGCAAACATTCGTTAGATACTCATGCTGGATAACATGCGAATACTGCTATTACTTTACATATGACAAAACCACAACATGTAATGTTACGATGATGACAATATAACATGTTCCCTGGGTTCTAGTCTATCACCTTTTGAAAAGTTTCTTCAATAAAAAGTCTCTTCCTTTGCCAGTAAAATATCACTAAAATATATTTCAACAATTAAAGAATCTTGTTGCCAAAGTTCATATCTTTATCCATACCTACACACTGTTGAGTGTAGGCCCTTACAACTAATGTAGGCCAATAAAATCATCATTTTCTTTTACTTAAATCAATCGTTTAAAATCAAAATAACCTCGTCTTGCATGAACGTGAGAAGCACAAAATATCAAAAAGCAAAGGCTTCAAGTTCAACCACGGAGGAAGCCTTTTTTCCCACTTCCGTGGTTAACAAACTGTGTTCTGTACTCAACCATGTCGACCTACATGTACGCAGTAAACAGTGGTAAAGGATAGGCCTACATGCATACCCCACATGAGCCAGGTACCGGCATGACCAGGGTACGCGTCAAAGTGTCACACTCTTCCCAAGGGATTTTCACCGCGTACCCACGTAACCAGTCATTCCAGGGTTGTTTTTTTAGAGTGGCAGGGTATTCCCTGTTGGGTAAGGAGATAATGATTTTATCATAATCGCATAAATAGCAAGCTACAAAGTACAAGTGTAACGTTAGGCTGGCACTTGGCAGCGTACGGCCTATTTTAAAAACCTGCAAGGCCAATCAGTGCAAACAAATTTGTCACTTCACACTTCAAGTTTCACTTTCATACATACGTTTATTACACTCCACGAATCAATAGTTATCGTAGCTTGCTGTCCAAAACATCTCTGGAAATGTGCTTCTGGCCAAGTCCTGGGAGGAAATTAATGTGCCACTCTAATGGGTTCTACTTTATAGCGGACTGTACGCCTAGGCTGGTATAGTATTAACCTACGTACATGTACGTACACGAGTGAAGCGCAGACGACAGTTTTTTGCACGAGTCCCCGGGTCCCAATGAGTTGAACTAAAAAATACAAGGGAAAAACCCCATACGACGTCTGGGTATCGTGCAATAATGAGAACTAAATATGTACAGAGGGCGCACTCGGGCATTGCACTGTGCGGCTGCCTTTCAGGACGGCAAGGCGTCGGGACCACTGTGGTTTGGCTTCATAGGTGCAGTGTCCCAATTCAAGGAAAATTCTCCGCCAGGCGGAGGCGCACAAAAAGTACCCCCCAGAGATTGTTTCAAAAGGGGGGTCTGTTTGGGCCAAGAAATGGTGGGAGTGTGTCAGTA